AACAAAATAATATCAGAAAATTTCCCAAGCCTCAAGAAAGAGATGCCCATTCAGGTACAGGAAGCCTTGAGGACACCAAATAGATGTGACCAAAATAGAACCTCTCCATGGCATATTACAGTTAAAACAATTAGCATATAAAACAAGGAAAGAATATTGAAGGCTGTGAGAGAGAAAAATAAAATAACATATACAGGCAAACCCATCAAAATAACAGCAGACTTCTCAACAAAAATGTTAAAGCAAGAAGGGCATGTAGTGAGATATTTTGAATACTGAAAGAAAATAATTCAGTCCTAAGATACTGTACCCAGCAAAGCTATTATTCAAAATTGAAGGAGGAATAAAAATCTTCCACGATAAACAAAAACTAAGACAATATATGATCACTAATCCACCACTACAGAAGATCCTAGAAGGAATCCTACACTCAGAAGATGAAAACAAATATAGCAAAGAAAGGACAGAACTATTAAATCTCAAGAGAGGAGCAGATAAGCAATCAGAGAGTAGCATAAAATTAGCTACACACACACACACACACACACACACACACACACACACACAAACCTTACACAACAAAAACTAAATGACAGGAATCACCACATACCTCTCAATATTAACACTGAATGTTAATGGCCTCAATTCCCTCATTAGAAGACACCAAAGGGCAAACTGGATTAAAGAGGAAGACCCAATAATTTGTTGTTTACAAGAAACCCACCACATAGACAGAAACAAACATTGTCTATGAAAGGGTGGAAGAAGATTACCAAGCTAATAGCTCCCTCCCAAAAACACAGGCAGGAGTAGCAATACTTGTATCAGATAAAGTAGACTTCAAACCTAAATTAGAGAGGAATTTAAAAAAAAGGTCACTTCATACTAAGAAAAAGAACAATACATCAAGAAAAAATAACTTATATGCACCCAATGTTGGTGCACCCAACATTATTAAGCAAATACTACTGGACTTAAAAACACAAATAGAACCCAACACAATGGTGGCAGGAGACTTCAGTCTCTAACTCCTCTATCACTAACAGATCATCCAGACAAAAAAAAATCAACAAAGAAACTCTTGAATTGATAGACACCACAGATCTAATGTCTGTGACAGATGTCTACAGTCTTCCATCCTGCAACAGCACAATATACACTCTTCTCAGCAGCCCATGGAACTTTCTCCAAAATAGACCATACTTTAGGTCACAAAGCGAGTCTTAACAAATATGAGAAAACTGAAATAACACGCTGCATACTGTCTGACCACAATGCAATAAAACTAGAATTCAACAATGAAAGAAATAGCAGAATATACTTGAACAACTGGAGACTGAACAACTCACTGCTCCATTATCAGTGGGTAATTGAAGAAATAAGAGAGGAAAGCAAAAAAGTTCCTGGAACTTAATGAGAATGATAGTGCAATCTATCAGAACCTATAGGACACAGCAAAGGCAGTACCTAAGGGGAAAGTTTATAGCCATGAGTGCATATATTAAAAACACAGAAAGATCTCAAACAAATGACCTAATGCTGCATCTCAAGTTCCTAGAAAAACAAGAATAAGCTAAACCCAAAACTAGCAGAAGAAGAAACATATAAAGAATCAATGAAACAAAAAGCTGGTACTTCGAAAAGATAAGCAAGATCAACAATACCTTGGCAAATCTGACTAAAATGAGGAGGGAAATGATCCAAATTAGTAAAATTAGACATGAAAAGGGGGAGATAACAAAAACACCAAGAAGATCCAGGGAATCATCAGGGTCTACTTTGAAAACCTATATTCAAATAAATTGGAAATTCTAGAAGAAATGGACAAATCTCTTGATATATAAGACCATACAAAATTGACCCAAGAGGATATTAGTTATCCAAACACATCTACAACATAAAATGAAATTGAAGCACCAATAAAGAGTCTCCCAAAAAAGAAAAGTCCAGGACCACAGATTCACCAATGAATTCTACCAGACCAAGAAGAACTAACACACACCAATACTCTCAAACTTTTCCATGAAATAGAAAGGGAAGGATACCAAACTCATTCTATGAAGCCAGTATTACACTCATTGCCAAACCAGAAAGGATACAAAAAAGAGAGAGAGAATTATAGAATAATCTCTTTAATAAACATAGTTTCAAAAATATTAATAAAATATTGGGAAACTGAATCCAACAGCCTATCGCAAAGATCATACACCATGATCAAGTTGGTTTTACCCTACAGATGCAGGGATGGTTCAATATACACAAATCATTAAATATAATGCAGCATAAAAGCTGTGGTGAAACTAGGAATAGAAGGAATGAACCTCAACATAATAAAGGCTATAGATGACAAGCCTATACCCAACATCATGCTAAATGGGGAAAAACTGAAACCACTTCCTCTAAAGTGAGGAATGAGACAAGAGTGTCAACTCTCTCCACTTCTACTCAACAGAATCTTGGAATTCCTAGATAGAGCAATAAGACAGGAAGATGAAATAAATGGAATACAAATAGGAAGGATCTTTTAGGAAAGATACTAAAAGATCCGAAAAACTCCATCAAAAAACTCCTAGACACCATAAACAACTTCAGCAAAGTGGCAGGATATAAAATCAATTTATAAAAATCAGTAGCCTTTTGATATACCAACAATGAACAGACTGAGAAACAATATAGGAAAATAATTGCATTTACAATAGCTTCAAAAAAATCAAATACCTAGGAATAAACTTAAAGGATATAAATGACGTCTATAAGGAGAACTACAAACCACTGAAGAAAGAGAACAAAGACTACGGTGGGTGGAAAAATCTCCCATGCTCATGGACTGGTAGAACCAACATAGTAAAAAATGGCTGTACTACCAAAAGCAATCTACATGTTCAATGCAATTCCCATTAAAATCCCAATGACATTCATCACAGAGATTGAAAAGTCAACCCTAAATTTCATTTGGAAACACAAAAGACCACGGATAGCCAAGCAATACTAAGCAAAAAGAGCAATGCTGGAGGTATCACAACACCCGACACTTCAAACTATACTACAGAGCCATAGCAATAAAAACATGGTACTGGCACAAAAACAGACATGAAGACATGTGTAAGAGAATAGAAGACCCAGATATGAATACATACAACTATGCACACTTAATTTTTGAGAAAGGCTCCAAAAATATACGATGGAAAAAAGACAGCCTCTTCAACAAATGTTGCTGGGAAAACTGGTTTTCTGCCTGCATAAAACTGAAACTAGATCCATGTCTGTCACCCTGTTTAAGTATCACCTCAAAGTGGACTAAGGACCTTAATGTAAGACCTGAAACTCTGAAGGTAGTGCATGAAAGACAGGGAATACACTGGAATTAATAGGCATATTTAATGACTTCCTCAACAGAACTCAAATGACTCAGCAACTAAGAGAAAGGATTGACAAATAGGACTATATGAAATGAAAAAGCTTTTGCACAACAAAAGAAATGGTCTCTAAATTGAAGACAATGCCCGTAGAATGGGAGAAAATCTTTGCCAGCTATATATCTAACAAGGAATTGATAACCATAATATACAGGGAGCTCAAAAAACTAAACTCCCAAAAATTCAATGACCCAATGAGAAATGGACAAAAGAACTGAACAGAGCTTTTTCAAAGGAGGAAGTTCAAATGTCTAAAAAACACATGAAAAAAATGTTGAACCTCCCCAGCCATAAAGGAAATGTAAATCAAAACCACGTTAAGATTCCACCTCACTCCTGTTACAATGGCTACCATCAAGAACACAATAACAACAAACATTGTCAACGATGTGGAGCAAAAGGAACCCTCATCACTGCTGGTGGGAATGTAAATAGTACAACTACTATAGAAAATAGTATGGAGGCTCCTCAAAAAACTAAAAATAGAACTGCCATATGATTCAGCAATTCCACTCTTAGAAATATACCCAAAGGGATGTAAGTAGGCTCCTCAAAAAACTAAAAACAGAACTGCCATACGATTCATCAATTCCAATCTTAGAAATATACCCAAAGGAATGTAAGTCAGGTTACAATAAAGGCACCTGCACATCCATGCTTATTGCAGCATAACTCATATAGGTAAACTATGGGAACAGCCAAGCTGCTCCACTACTAATGAATGGATTAAGAAAATGTGGTATTTATATACAATAGAATTTTATTCAGCCACAAACAAGAATGAAATTTTGTCATTTGCAGGTAAATGGATGAAACTGGAGCACATCATCTTAAGTGAAGCTAGCCAGGTTCAGAAGGCCCAAAGTCACATGTTTTCTCTCATATGTGGAATATAGACCTAATACAAAAATAGCAATATTATGAAAAATAGGTCACACTAAGGGGAAGTCACATAAGAGAATGGGAGGGTAAAAGAAGGAAGTTAAAAAGGTGAACATGGGTGATAAACTCTCTATACAAGAATGAATATAGAATTTTTAAACCAGTTGAAACCACCATAAGAAAGAGACTAAGGTAGATAAAAAGAAAAATAGAGGAGATATACCAAATCAGGCTATACTACACATATATTGGAAGTGCCATTAGGAAACTCCCTGTGTAGCTATCTTAAACAAGCAAAAATGTCATTTTTTTTTTCTTTTACAAAACTGGAGAACAGGAGGGGAGAACAGGTCCTGCTGGGGGGGGGGTGGCGTGGTACCAATGTGAGGGGGAAGAAGTTGGGAAAAGGGTAGAAGAGGGTGAATATGGTACAAATACCGTGTACACATGTATATAAAAGGAAAAATGATACCTGTCGAAAATATTCCAGGAATGGGGAGGGGAGGGGGATAAATTAGAACAATGGGAGGGTAAAATGAAGTATGATATGCTTGTATATTATAAGAACCTTTATAAACATAGCATACCCATACCCAGAACAATAATTAAAAAAAGAAAAAAGTTTTAGTTTACAAAGCATAAAAAATTTAGCAATATATTTTATTTATATTATCTGGAATTAGACACCAAAAATATTCTTACCTATATAAAAAAAGATCTTTGGCAAGTCGCTTAGGTCCAATGATTTTGAAGATAATTTCATATGTTTCAAGTGCCTTCCGATGAACTCCACCAGGTAATGCTGGATGTAAACACTGAGCTAGGCGCTTGCCTATGGTCAGCTTTTTGGGTACTACCTGGTACTTGGCATTGTTTTGTAAAACCTTGAAGAAAGCATTTTTATGTAGTTGAGAAAAAACATTTCATTTTATTTCCATTTTCGTGCATAGTAATATAAAAATTATCAATGTAGGCTTTTGCTTTTGTCTGTTATACCTACTAATGTTTTATCTGATATTAAAACTGAGAAATTAAAAAGTATTAACTTCTTTAAAAAAATGTATCTATAAACAGAATATATTTTTAATGAAAAAAACTTTGTAAAACAAATTTATTGAGAAGAGAGGTACTATTTTCAGTCTTTGAAAATCTTTAATAACTGACATAAGACAGTTATATATGGAAAGTTATATGATTCGCCCATCAATCTACTTTTTGATATCATATCTAGAGTTACATGCAGACACATAGATATAGACCCCAGAGGCAGTACAGCTGAAAAGTCAGCAGATCTCCCAGTCCATTAAACTTATACTAATATATATATTTAGATATCTTCAACAAATATATATATATATATATATATAATCCCTGCCTTGTTCCACCACTGATGAAAATCAGTGATTTGGATATCTTACTTTGTGTTATCTGAACACAGTGAAATATTTTCATGTATATTAGTTAATCTACAAAAACTATGTACTTAATTAAGCAAATTTATTTCTTTAACTTAATGAATTGCCATTAAAAATAGTTCCTTATAAGTCTTAGAAAAGAGATTCTTCAGAATTCTTCAGTAAGAGAAAAAACCTAACTACTTTTAGGCAAATTCACATGATGGATGCAATTTCTTGTGGATGCTGTAAAGAAATCAAGAACTTTTCAAGCTTCATAATAAAAATGTTAGAATTAAACATGTCAAACAGATTTGCATATCTAATTTTAAGATAAATCCTTAGCATAGGTAAAAATGAAAGCTTTTCTTCTTACAATATCATGATGATTATCTATAGTATCAGCTTGAAAACTAGTGTCCAACTATGTATTTTAAGACAAATTTCTTTCCTAATAATTATATGTTAAACTCTTTGATGTTAAAACAGTTGATGTCTGAGCATTCCTTTCCTATCTACCCCTCTCAATATTTAAAAGTATCCCTAGTCAGGAACAACAACCCTAAACTATGGGTACAAGGTAAGAAAACTTTGATCTACGTTAAAAAAAAAAAAAAAGAGTCAAAATGAAAAGTTGAGAATTGATCAGTGCCCCTACTATAATAACTATGGCTAAAACCAATCATTTCAGGAAGGATCATTCAAAGCCAAGCTCCAAGGTCTAAATGACTGTACCCAGAGTTGCCTTTGTAGAGTACTGAATCACAACAACGGTTTGTCTAGATAGAGAATGTTTTCCTACAGCTACATGCATGTCATTTGGAAATGAAACCAGTCACTGCTTTCCATTTAGAGTTTTTCATTTTGATGCCACAAACTCCAGAACCATATCTGATGCTCAATTACAGAAACTTACTAGCTCTCATAGTTAGCATATTTGCTTCCCAGTCTTGTTTCTATAGATAATAATGGTAATAGTTATTTTTTTCACTGTTGTTTCTTTGAATTAGAACTTCGAAAGTGTTAACAAAATGCCTGACTACACAGGCATGCAACTCATGAATTCAAATAGCACTGCCAAAAGTAATCTAAGGTTTGCTTATATTTTTTCCATTCTTTAGGTCAAGATTTAGAGAAATCTAAGTATAGACACAAATTTCAGATGTTTTTCCTTTTATGAAATGGTAAGACAAACATACCTTGTTTAGTTTTCCAAGTGCTGATATCAAATCTGCCCATTCACTGGAATATTCAAAATTCTTTAGTGCTTTGTCAATTGCCGCTACATAGTTTCTGTATTTGGAGTCACTCAATAACTCCAGCTCTTCTGTATTCATCCTCCCACGGTGTCCCACTAGAGACCAGGTCCAAAGTCATGCAAAATCATTACCTACAATAGAGTGTTCAGGAGCAACCAAGGTTACAAAGTGAAATACTGAAACTGACTCACATGGTCTTGTTACAAAAATAATGGCCAACTTTAAAATGTTTCTTAAGTCAGAATTAGTCAAAATTTGGTTTGGCTAGTGCTCAAGGTGATGGAAGTATTCAAAGACAGCCTCAAAGACAGTTACTATGCATTCCTTCCTAGAAACTGCCAAATGGCTGTGAAAATTTAGGAATCCAAATTTTTTTTCAGATACTTATTTCAATTTAGAAATTACAAGTATATTGTTAGAAAATTTCTGACATATATATCCCCCTTTACTTTGTTTTGATCCTAAATTTTAGTAAAACTGATTAGATTGGAAACATCAGGCACATGGGGGAGAAAAGAAAAAAGAAAACCAGAAAAAGGCCTAATCTGAACATCATTTTATTTTATTAAGTAACAAGTGGGCATCTAGTATGAAGGGACATTAACAGTTTGAAATTGAACTTCACTCTGAATAAAACTGGCAAGGATATGTGATGGTTTAATACGCATCTACAACTTCTTTGATGTGCTTTTCAAAAAGTATACCTGATCCTCCAGCCCCTTGGGCTGGACTGTGTGACTAAATTTAAAAAAAAAGAATAAGGCAGAAGAGCTAATGGGTAATAACTACAGCTAATAAAGGCAATTCAGATCCTCTCACAACACCAATGGTCTGGCAAGCCAATTGCCATTATCAGGAGGACACTTTAAGGAGCTGTGTGTGGAAGTCCCTGTGGTGAGGAACTGATACCTTCTGCCAGTCTTGTAAGTGAACCATCCTCAGCTAATCCTCAATTTCACTCTCTGATACCATGAATGTCAATTCATAAGAGAACTCAAGTCAGAACCATACATAGGTCAGTCTTTCAAATTCACGTCTAATAGAAAGTTTTCTGTTTTGGGCCACTGTGTTTGGGGGTAGTTTGTTACACACCAATAGATAATTAACAGAATAATAACAAGGTTTTAGTTGAGGCTCAATTTAAAAATCAATGTGGCTTTCCAACACATTTTTGGCATCCTGACTTCTGTCTGCACTGTTCTGTAGAGCTGGATTCATGGATACGCAGGAATTTGACTTCTTCCTTACATCTGTACAAAAATTTACTTAGAATGGATTGCAGATTTAAATGTAACAACTAGAAGTATAAGACTCTTTGAAAATATAGGAGTAAATCTTCATTACCTAGGATAGGCCAAGTCTTCTTAGAAATAACAGAGATTTCATCAGAATTATGTGCTGCACAGTATACCATAAAAGGAAGTGAAAAGGCAACTGACAGTATGGGAAGCAAAAGATCTCCCAGGTATCTATGAAGTACTTGAGCTAGGTATGTAGCTCAATAATTATTTGTCAATAAAAGGACAAATAATTTAAAAATGGGCAACGGATCTGAATGGACATTTCTATGAATATGTACATGTTCAATAAGTACAAGAAGTAACACTCAACATCACTAATTTCATGAAAATGCCAAAACCATGAGATGACACTTCACACCCACTAGGATAGTTATAATAAAAAGGACAGTTAGTGTTGGTCAAGATGTAGAGAAACTGAAACAATCACAGTCTTCTAGAGAGAAAATAAATTGGTGTGGCAGCTTTGGAAAATATGTAGTACTTCTCAAAAGGTTAAACTGAAATACCATAAGATCTAGCAATTCTACTCCTATGTACACAGACCCAAGAGAAATGAAAGCACATCTTTGTCCAATAACTTGTACATGAATGTTCATAGAAGCATTATTCATGACAGCCCCAAGGGGAAAATAATTTGAATATTTATCAGTTAAGGTACAGATAAATACCAAGGAATAATATTCTACCATGAAAACAGATACTGATACATGTTACAACATGCATAAATGTTTTGGGAGGGGTGGTACTGGAGTTTTGAATGTAGGACCTCAAGCTTGCAAGGTAGGTGCTCTATCACTTCAGCCACACCCCCCAGCCCTTTTTGGTTTAGTTTTTTTTTTTTTTTTGATAGAGTCTCATGTTTTTGTCCAGGTCTCCCCTTGCACCATGATCCTCCTACCTGTGTCTCCCAGTAGCTAGAATTACAGATGTTCATCACCACATCTGGCTTGTTGGTTGAGATGGAGGTCTCACTACCTTTTCACCCAGGCTAACCTCAAAGTACGATCCGAGATCTCTGTCTCCCAAGTAGCTGGGATTACAAGCATGTACCACCACACCCCACCTTCATGCATGACTCAAAAATATTATGGTAAGTGAAAGAAGCCATTCACAAAAGATCACATATTGTATAATTCTATTTATATGAAATTTCCAAAACATACATGTCTATAGAGACAGCAAGTATATTAACACTTGCTTGGGTACAGGAAAGAGAGACACTTGGGGAATGAGAACTAAACTACTAATGAACATGGGATTTCTTCTGGGGATGGTGAAAATGCTTTAAAGTTAATGGTAGTGATGGTTACAAAACTCTGAATAGATTGAAAATCATTGAATCATATATTTTAATTTACATTTTAAATAGGTGAACTGTATGGTATATAAACATTATCGCAACAAAGTTATACATACAGATGTACATAAATAAAGTACCTCCAGGATCTGTGAATCCCCTGAAGTCATGGACAAAGTCTGCATCTTACATTTTGTTGGGAAGACAGTCTACCACCTTTATAATATTCTGAAATAATAGATTTTTATATGAAGAATCACTAGATAATGAGACTGAAGCTAGTTCATACTCCTTAAGTATAATTCATTGAAACTGGGAAAAAATAATTTAATAAATTATTTAAGCTGCTTCTAACTTTTTTTCTTTTTCTTATATTTTCCATTATTTTTCTTTTGGTGGTAGTAGGGGTTGAAATGAACATGAAGTAAAATATTCCTAGTTTTGTTTCTGAGAAATCAGAAGAAGGAACAGCAAAGCTAAACTAAACTCAGGGGAAACGTCAACATGATTGGATTTTCTATAAGTATATAAAATAACTAAATTCTAATCAATAAATTTAAGAAAATACTGTACTAGTAGTAAATGGAATAAAGCATGTGCATAAGATTTACTGACAGGGAAATGTCTTTATATAGCAAGATTTCTAGAGTAAGATATAACACATCCACTTTGAAGCTATATAATATTTAGTGCATTTGGAAGATTAACTTGAAAAGCAATTTAGTAGTAATTTCTAATAATGAAAATAGGGGTCATTTATCTACATTTGGGATAGTAATATAATTTTGAAACACTTATTTCAATAGCTATATTATTCAGGCAAACTTATATGTGGTATAAAAAAGTCAGCCATTAATGACCAGCTAAATTTGTGGCACTTAAACTATTGTGTATTTCCAAAGTTATGTTGAGTCAGGTAAGAAATATGGATTTTCTTATGTTACCATTTATTTAGTTAAAACTCTAAATATTTAAGTATGATTAAAACAAGTTCATACATTTCAGGAGAGGTAGTGCACTTAGCATAGTAAAAGCAAAATCTTATGAAAATAGCTGAAAAATGAAAAAGAACATTCTTTCAAAGTTTCATCAGCAGAGCTGATATAGGAAAAAGATGGCCAGAACGTGGTATTAAAATTTGGTCATGATTTCTCAGTGATTTTAATGCAAATAATAATTGCTCATTATGTATAAGAGATAAAAACTGTATCACTCTTGAACTGTTTGATCTAACATAGAGTATAAATGCCAGTTCTCATGCTTTCTTCCCAGGTTTTTTCATAAAATAGCTTAAATCAGTACTTTTTACACTATTTATAGTTTTTCCCCCAATCCATTACTGACTGATATGTTTCTAAAATATACAATTATGTGTTAGTTGCAGTACAGCCCAGCTGCCATAAAGATTTCTAAATGTATATTTTCATATCTGTGTTTACCTCTTTGTGTTCTGCTAACAAAGAATTTGTGAAAGGCCCACATGTCACACTTTGAACACCACTGCCTTAGATCATAATGCAAATACATTTTCCATATTGTATCAAGAAAATTTTATACCATGCTCTTTCTCCAGAAAGGTCATGACACGCAGCAAAAAATACAAACATTTGGATGGGTACTGTGGCTCAAATCTGAATCCTGATTACTTCGGAGATCATAGTTCGAGGCCAGTTCAGACAAAGTTTTTGAGATCCCATCTCAACCAATGGCAGTGGTGCAGGGCTGTCATCTCAGCTATGCAAGGAAGCACAAATAGGAGGATCATACTCCAGGCAACCTAAGCGTAAAGTGAGGTCCTATCTCAAAAATAATTAATGCAAAATAGCCTGGTGGCATGGCTCAAGTGGTAGACTGTCTGCCTAGCAAGCACAAGGCTCTGAGTTCAACCCTCAGTACTGCAAAAAAACAAAAAACAAAAAAACAAATATTCAGTAATAAAAGTATTTCATAGATACCTCAGGGCATAAGAAAGCACTAAAAAACCTTCAAGCACAGGGTTGATGTCAAGACAGTCCAAGTATGAAGCCTAGTTCTATTGCTTACTACCAACTGAATGACCTTGCACTAAGTGCTTAATTTTTTCAAGCCTTAGTTTCCTAATCTATAAAAGTAGATTATTAGACCCACCTCAACGGCTATTAAAGTTAAATAATATATTGAAGTTATCAGCGTGGTTGACACATAGAAAATGCTCAAAAAACTGTTCTGTCCCCAATTATTTTCTATGAAATCAAAGAGATACTAGGAAGCAAGTATGATATGACTCTGAATTTGTTGGCAGCAAATTAGAAAACTGAAGACTCATTATCCTGTCTTACACGGTCTTGTAAATGCAAATTAAAACATAGTTTCACTGCCAGGTACACTTTTTTTTATAACATTAAATTGCACATATAGTGGGCCCTTTGTGAGTTCCATAACCATGGAGTCAACCAACCACAGTTGAAAATGTTTGGAAAAAAACTGCACAGGTACTGAACATACAGACTGTTTTTGTTTGGTGCTGGGAATTGAACCCAGGGGTTTTCTCATT